GGGGTTTCACCATGTTGGCCAGGATGGTCTTGATCTTTTGACCTCATGACCCGCCCACCTCGGCTCCCAAAGTGCTGAGATTACAGGCGTGAGCCACCATGCCCGGCTTTATGTTACTGTTTTTAAGGACCCAGATTTTCAGTGTAAGAGAAGAGATAAAAATACAGAAACAAATAAGAAAAAATTCTATCATGTTAAACTTGAATTACTTTTATAGTTCAAAAGTCTGATGATTGGGTGTCATGCTCATGTGTGAGACATGCCTCCCTTAAGCCTTGTTATGATGTCAGCACATTACCTGTCTAGATATATTTTTTAAACACGTGAATTAGAAATATATCAATATCTATCAATCAATCAATCAATCAATCAATCATCTATCTATCTCACATTCTAGCTACATCACTGAAAGAGCCTAGAAACAGTGACACCCAGGAGCTGAGATCTCAGTTTCTAAAGGCCATTCCCTACAAAAAGAACTGTGGCTACCTGGAGAAATTATAGACTTCCAAGTTTGGGGCACTAGAGAAAAAAGGGTATCCTGAGATATCTTCCTGTGCCAGAAAGCCAGGATACACTCAAAGTCTAATTAATGGGGACACATCAAAAGGGCACAGGCCAGCTTGAAGTTTCACTAAAAGGACAGATAAGACCCAAATTTAAAATTATCTTGTCAAGCTGGAATGCTCAACCAAACCAACATGATGAAAATTAACAGGGATGACTGTGAAATACTGGATTTAGAATTAAAATCAGCTTCATAGGTACAGGATAGGATTCAACCTGCCTGACAGCAGATCATCTGAAAAAAGCACCAACATTTTAGAGTTGAATATGAAACTAAAGTGAAATGAGATTACTAAAAAAACTAACCCAATATTACAAGCAGCACTGGAAATATTTAGGAGGGAGATCATGTGGGGTAGAAATCTTATACTCTACCAAATAAGGCCCACTGATATTTAGTTTTAGGCACTATATATGAAGAGAACTATTCTAGACATAATAACTCTCCCTCCTCCTCATAGCAATTTCTACTTTTTAAACACCTCCCATATGCCATGCACTATATTAGATGTTTTTACAATGTGTTCTCCAATTTAACCTCACAACCACTCTACTGTGGTGGGTTCAATTATAATCCTCATTTTACAAGAAAATGGAGGCTTGAAGAGATTAAGTAACTATCTATGTTAGACAGCTAACAAAGGTAACTTGTATCTTAAAGTTGCCTGATTCCAAAGCCTGTGGCCAGAATGGTAAAAAGTCTGGAAAAAGGAAAAAGTCACATAAAAACACCCCATTAAAGACAGTAAGAGTTTTTGAGCATGGAAGAAGAAAAGATTATGGAAACACTTGGAGGTATTTTCAAATATTTTAAAAAGATGACAGCTCCATTCTTTAACAAGTGAACTTCCTTGGGAGGTGAAGCACCTGTCAGGGCTATTGTAGATACGACTTTGGCATTGGGAGTGGAAGTTCCCCATGGATTCTACCTTAACATCTGCTGCAACTCCAGTTCAGCATGCTATAGGCAAAATTTCTGTTATGTTACTGATCTCCTGCCATACCTCTCACCTAAGCCTCAAGGGCTACAACTCTTGTCTAAGCCCACACAATATAGCTTTGTTACAATATTCCTTCTGTTCCACTGATTCCAAAGCCATTCCTATTACCAAAGGATAGGAAAAACTAGACTAGGGAGAGGATGCGGCTGTCAAACAGAGCAGAGAGATGCAATCCAGGCTTCAGGTCAAGGAGAGCAGAGATGCAGTCAGGGCCTCTGGTTAAAAAGAGCCAGCTGCAATTATGGCCCCAGTTGAAGAGACAGACTTGAGCATAACAAGCAGCTATTCTAATTGTCAAACAGAGCAGGCAACCAGGATTAACCATAACACATAGCAAGGAAAGGCCTCTGGCAGAAATGAAATGATAAAAATCTAGCACTGAAAGAAAGACGCCGCTTTGAGAATACATAGAAGCCAAGACAGAATTCTGCAATTAGTAATGACCTTGAACCAAGAACAGGTATTGGCCGGGCGCGGTGGCTCAAGCCTGTAATCCCAGCACTTTGGGAGGCCAAGACGGGCGGATCACGAGGTCAGGGGATTGAGACCATCCTGGCTAACACGGTGAAACGCCGTCTCTACTAAAAAATACAAAAAACTAGCCGGGCGAGGTGGCGGGTGCCTGTAGTTCCAGCTACTCGGGAGGCTGAGGCAGGAGAATGGCGTGAACCCGGGAGGCGGAGCTTGCAGTGAGCTGAGATCCAGCCACT